TTTTTTTTTTGTGGGTTACCGGCGGCTCTTCGTACGATTTTCCAAGTTGCATTAATTGGCCAAACTTAGCCGCCGCATAATATTCAAAGATTCCATGAGCCGGCTTCATTAATTTTTTTTGAAGCTCTTAATTAAGTTAATGGATATCTTTATTTATTTATTTTTTTGATACAAAAAGGGAGGCCAAAGGCCTAAGACAACACTAAAATCCTTCGTGGGTAAGCCACCTCATGAATGTCATGATCAAGCCAAGCTCCTATCCCCGAAGGGGGCGATGTCATACGATGCATACTCAACATGGTAGATGCTGCTAAGGCCGCCATATGATCAGCTGTGAAATTCGCCTCCCTATGTACGTGTTCGATCCTAACGCTCCAATTCCATTGCAACATACCACGAATGGCTCGAATGAGAAACTCGTGGATGCCCACATGATCCTCCGTCCCCAATATCATGCTAGTCACACATAGGATATCGACCTCCGCAACAACTTTGCGAAATCCCAACTCCCATGCCAACTGGAGGCCCTGGAATAGTCCCCACAATCCGGCCCCAGTAATAGTGTTACTCCCAATATTCATCAGAAATCCTTCAACCCACCTACCAAGCTCGTCTCTAATTAAACCACCCACACTACATAAGTCGGTTGTGTGATTTGCAGCCCCGTCTGAGTTCATCTTGACCCATCCCGGATCCGGGGATACCATTTTACCATACGAACGGTGTGCAATCTAATACTAGTGCTTTGAGAGTTATTAAGATATGTCGCTTAATAGTTACGTTATCACACTATAGAAAAATATAATTAACACCAAGTGTTAAAATAATTTAATATTCTATATTTAAAAAATTTAAAATCTTGTAAAGCTGTTACAAAATAAAAGCTTAATAACTATAACAAGGTTTTACTTGTGTAATGGTGATTTGAATGTTGATCACAAGATTTTTATTAAATGAAGTTCTATTTATTATGTTAATGGCTGGCTGTATAAAATTTATTAAAGCTTGCCACCAAATATATATACATGTTTCAGTAGATGTATATATAAGAGCGTGTTTGGTGCACACCTAAACACCATAACTTGATAAATAAGACGACTATGTTAGTTTTTTGTTTATTGTTTGTCCCACATCGAATGTATACCAAAGATGTGTATGATCTTTTAAGTATAAATATGTCCATTGTCTTTGGGTTACAATTGCACCTTATTCTATTCTCTCATATTTAGAAGAAAATCCTTAATTAAGGAAATCATAATTTGTGGGTTATTTAACCTTAGTTGTATTTTGTTGGTGAGTTTAGTAAATTTGGCGTTGTGGTTAGCGGTGCCCGGAGACGTAGGCTATTTTCGCCGAACTCCGTTATCAATTTTTGTGTTCTTTTTCATTCTCGTCTTTTATTTATTTGTGTTGGCTTATTTTCGTTTGGTGTAGTGCTTGCCATATTTGTTGGAGGGATATTTTTGTCCGCTGCGCTTGTTGTGATACCCCAACAAGTGGTATCAGAGCCGAAGGTTCGTCCCAGGCTCATTCGGAGAGGCGAGCACTGCATGCGGGTTTGAGATGTCCAAGGAGGTCAAGGGCGCATCATCCTCTGCATTCATTTGGGCAAGGACGGTGATGTCGAACGTCAGACTCCCGGTGGAAATTTTCGACGGGACCAATCATTTCGGCATGTGGCAAGGCGAGGTGCTGGATTGTCTATTTCAGCAAGGCATCGACATTGCGACCGAAGAAAAGAAGCCAACAGACGTTGAAGAAAAGGACTGAAAGAAAATCAACCGCTTAGCATGTGGAACAATTCATTCGTGTTTGTCGTGGGAGCAGAAGTACGCGTTCAAGAATGAGAACTCTGCTCATACTATGTGGAAGGCTTTGGAGGACAAATTTCTGAAGAAAAACGGCCAGAATAAGCTCCTCATGAAGAAACGATTATTCTAATTCGAGTACCGGCATGGCACATCGATGAATGACCACGCCACTGCATTCAATCAATTGGTTGCAGATTTGTTGAACTTGGACGTCACATTCAACGATGAAGATTTGGATCTTATGTTGTTATCATCACTTCCAGATGACTTCGAGCACTTAGAGACTACTTTGCTCCATGGGAAGGACGATGTAACTCTTGCAGTGGTCAGTTCTGCTTTGTATAGTTACGAGTTGAGGAAGAAGAACAAATAAGAGACGAAGAATACAACAGCAGAAGATGAAGCGTTGGCTGCAAGAGGTCGGTTGAAGAGCCAAAAGAAGAATGGACGAGGAAGATCACGTTCCAAAGCCAAGCTTGAAAAAGAGGAGTGTGCTTTCTGCCATGAGAAGGGACACTGGAAGAAAGACTGTTCTAAGTTGAAGAAGAAGGGTAAATCTCCTCAATATGCATATGTTGCTGAGGGTGGAAGTGAAGACTCAGAATTTTCACTTGTGGTTTCACCTTCATCATCTCATCCAGACGAATGAATTTTGGATTCAGGAAGCACCTACTATATGTCTCCCATAAAGGAGTGGTTCTCCAATTTTCAGGAGATCAATGAAGGGTTGTCTATATGGGTAATGATAACACCTGTAAGACATCTGGGATAGGTTCAATCCGTTTGAAGAATTGCGATGGTTCCACCAGAGTTTTAACGGATGTTCGGTACGTGCCGAATTTGAAGAAAAACCTCATCTTATTAAGAGCCTTGGAATCCAAGGGCTTGGTAGTGACTTTGCGAGATGGAGTTATGAAAGCTACATTCGGCTCGCTTGTGGTGATGAAAGGCATCAGGAGAAATAACTTGTATTACTATGAAGGTGATACATTCGTTGGGACAGTAACAGTAGCAGATTCCACCAACAAGGAGTTTGAAGCAATCAAGTTGTGGAATATGCGTTTGAGACATGCTGGTGAAAAGTCCTTGCAAACATTGGCAAAACAAGGATTGTTGAAAGATGTCAAAATGTGCAAACTAGACTTTTGTGAGCATTGTGTTCTGGGAAAGCATAAGAGAGTGAAGTTTGGAATGGCTATCCATAATACCGAATGTGTCTTGGATTATGTTCATTCGGACGTGTGGAGACCTTCTAAGACCCTATCATTAGGCTAAAGACGCTATTTTGTCACTTTCACTGATGACTTTTCCAGACGTGTTTGGGTGTACACTATGAAGACGAAGGATGAAGTGCTTTGAGTCTTCATTACATGGAAGACACAAATTGAGAACCAGACTGGAAGGAAGATCAAGGTCCTACGAAGAGACAATGGTGGAGAATATATAAGTGATCCCTTTCAAGAAGTTTGCCAAAAAATGGCATTATTAGGCACTTCACCGTTAGACGGACACCACAACAAAATGGGGTGGCCGAGCGCATGAATCGAACATTGGTGGAGAAAGTTTGATGCATGTTGTCCAATGCTGGTTTGGGCAATGAGTACAGGTTTGAGGCTGTAACATACGCGCAACACCTCATAAATCGTTTTAGTCGTCATTTGTAAAAGTTGGTAAAACACCGTTGGAGGTATGGTCGGGAAAACCTGTTGCTGAGTATGGATCTTTACATGTCTTTGGATGTCCTACATTCTATCATGTGAAGGATTCAATGTTAGTTCCAAGAGCGAAAAAGGCTTTGTTCATGGGAATAACAATCGGCGTGAAGGGATATCGTCTTTTGTGTCTTGAGACGAACAAAACTATGTTTAGCATGGATGTTACATTTGATGATTAAAGTATGATAAATACGACGCAAACCCAACAAGTGGAGTTGACACCGAAGCAGGTGGAGATATATGCGATGATGAGACAACCAGCTATCATCGACGAAACAATATCAAAGGATTCGTCAGATGATGAAGTTCAGACTCAAGAATCATTATATTTACCCATTGCATTGAGAAAGACCAGACGAGAGATTCAACAACCTGTTCGATTGGCGGATATGGTGTCTTATGCACTTCCAATTGTTGATGATGACATACCTTTCACTTTTCAAGATGCAATTCGAAGTTTAGAAAATGAGAAGTGGAAATGGGCTATGGAGGAAGAAATGTTGTCTCTCCAGAAGAATCAAACTTGGAAGGTGACGCAACTACCAAAAGGCAAGAGGGCGATAGGATGCAAGTGGGTATATGCAAAGAAAGATGAATTTCCTCAGAAGAACGATGTGCGCTACAAGACAAGGTAGGTGGCTAAAGGCTACGCTCAGAAGGAAGGAGTTGATTACAATGAAGTGTTTTCTCCAGTTGTTAAACACTCTTCCATTAGAATTTTGTTGGCCTTAACAACACAGTTAGATTTAGAGCTAGCTCAACTTGACGTGAAGACCGCATTCTTACACAGAGAATTGGATGAGGAAATCTACTTGACTCAGCCAGAAGGATTCAAAATTCTTGGAAAAGAGAATTGGGTCTGTAAGTTGAACAAATCGTTGTACGGACTGAAACAATCTTCGAGGCAGTGGTACAAATGGTTTGATAAGTTTATGCCTGGGCAGAAGTACACGCGAAGCAGACATGATCATTGTGTGTATTTCCGCAAGCTGCAAGATAGATCTTTCATCTACTTATTCTTGTATGTGGATGACATGTTGGTTGCATCAAAGAGCCAAATAGAGATTTATAAATTGAAGACTTAGTTGAATCAAGAGTTTGAGATGAAAGACTTGGGGGAGTTAAGAAGATACTCGGGATGGAGATAAGCATGGACAAAATGAGAGGCAAACTTTGTTTAACTCAAGAAGCAATGTCTGAATAAGGTACTACAACATTTTGGCATAAAAGATAAGACGAAGCCTGTAAGTACACCACTTGCCCCTCATATTAAGTTAAGTGCCCAGTTGTCGCCAAATTGTGATGAAGAATGAGAGTACATGGCTAGAGTCTCATATGCAAATGCAGTTGGCAGTTTGATGTATGCGATGGTGTGTACAAGGCCCGACATTTCACAAGCAGTTGGTGTTGTTAGCAGGTATATGCATGACCCTGCTAAAAGTCATTGGCAAGCTGTGAAATAGATTCCACGGTACATTCATAGTACTGTAGACGTTGGATTAGTTTATGAACAGAATGAAGTTGGTCAATGTGTAGTTAGATATTGTGATTCTGACTATGCCGGTGATTTGGATAAGCAAAGATCAACGACTGGATATTTGTTCACTTTTGCAAAAGCTCCAGTCAGTTGAAAGTCTATCTTACAGTCAACAGTTGCTTTGTCTACAACAGAGGCAAAGTATATGGCAGTTACTGAAGCTGTAAAGGAGGCTATTTGGCTTCAAAATTTACTTGAAGACTTGGGAGTTGGTCAAAAGCACGTCTTAGTGCATTGTGACAGTCGGAGCGCTATTCATTTAACGAAAAATCAAGTATTTAATGCAAGAACGAAACATATTGATGTTCGCTATCACTTTGTGCGGGAAATTCTAGAAGATAGAACCGTTGTGTTGAAAAAGATCAAGACAGCGGAGTTATGATGACCAAGGTAGTGACAGCACTCAAGTTTGAACATTGTTTAGACTTGACCAACATTCTGCATATTTGAGTTGGCGCCGAGAGGCGCATTTGGAGGCACCGCTAACAGTTGAGTTGGGAGTGGGAGCAAAATTAGTCAAGGTGGAGAATTATTAGTTTTTTATTAATTGTTTGTCCCACATCAGAGGTATACCAAAGATGTGTATGATCTCTTTAGTATAAATAGGTCCCTTGCCTTTGGATTACAATTGCACCTTATTCTATTCTCTCTTATTTAGAAGGAAAACCTTAATTAAGAAAATCCTAATTTGTGGGTTATTTAACCCTAGTTGTATTTTCTTGGTGAGTTTAGTAAATTTGGCGTTGCGGTTAGCGGTGCCCGGAGACGTAGGCTATTTTCGCCGAACTCCGTTATCAATTTTTGTGTTCTTTTTCTTTCTCGTCTTTTATTTATTTGTGTTGGCTTATTATCGTTTGATGTAGTGCTTGCCATATTTATTGGAGGGGTATTTTTGTCTTCTACGCTTGTTGTGATACCCCCAACAGACTATAGAGCTATATTAAATAATAACATCCATATGTGATTGAAAATAATGAACAAAATAAAAATAAAAATCTTGTACATCATATTAGTACTCATGGTACTATATACATTTCAAAATTTCAATCAATCTAATTTTCTTCTTTGAGTGTCTCATATGATCCTTCTTTCTCTTGATGATCTTTTTTATGCTTATTAATATGGGTAATATTTTGGCTAATTTCATGCTTATCATCATCACCCAATGATTCAACATAATCTTCCACTTTTTCCTCTACCTCTTGAACCTGCATTAGTTTAATTCAAAATAATTAGATACACAAAATAAATAAATAAATAAATAAATAAATAAATAAATACTGCTCAAAATTGTTTGCGAGCATTTTTTTTTTTTAATTGTTGAGGATTATTCGATCGAAAGATGTAAGTGCATGCTTGGATATAAATTTGTTTTTGTTTTGATTTGGGTTGGTTAAATTTGAAAAAGTAGGTATGATTAGTTGTTAGTGGATATAATAAAATAATATTTAAAATAAAATAATTAAAATTAAATTGATGTAAAAGTAAGAGAGAGAAAATGTGATGTGATAGTTAGTTAAATTTATGTGAGTAGATGAATAGTGAATTAAGGTTGATGTTGTGTGTAAGAATGATTGATTGATATTATTTAATTATATTAATAATATTGATGATAGTGGGTTGAGTTAAAGTTGAGTTAAAAAAGTGGTTGAGTTAAAAATGTCTGAATTTTTTTGAGAAAAATGTTTAAATTTTTCTATTTTTGTTTCTGTATTTATTTTAAATTTAGTTTCAAAATTATATACATCTCTAAGACTTTGTTTTGAGGATAATCGAGATTTTACATTCAATTTCATAATACATCTTTCGTTCGTCAAGAATTTAGTCATGTTATGCAACATCACTATTTCTCCCAACCAAGTCTATCAATCATGGTGGTTCTTGGATTAAACCCAAATTAGGAAAAACCTTTTGATTTTTTTTTTCATTTGAAATTTGTGTTGTAATAACTACCTTGTCGATAAAGTCTCCGACTAAATGAGCGTCCCTATTCGCTCTCTCGGCCACATGCTCGACAAAATCGACCACTTTCCTAAACTGTCCGTCGGTCGGGAGGTCATCGGCAATGTCCTCCGCCGCTTTCTCCACCTCCCCGGCCACCTTCTCGACCACCTCGACTATTTCCTCCACCGTCTCCACGGCGGTTTCGATTTCATCTTAACACAAAGGACAGTTAATTAATTAATTAATTAATGTGGTAAGCCAAATCAAATAATTAGATTTGTTTAGTCCATGCACTACAAAAAAAAACTCTTACATTCCATCGGAAATTTTCCGTTGGAATAGATATTCCAACGGATATTCCTATGTATAAAAATTCGTGGAAAAAGCGGCCGTTGGAATAGTTAAAATCCAACGGAAAATCCTATGGAAATAAATTTCTACAACTATTCCAACGGAAAAAATCCGTTGGAATTCCTCAACCATCCAACACTTATTCCAACACAAAATTAAGTTTGTTGGAATATTTATTGGAATTTCTAACGGAAATTTTTGCCGTTGGAATTTTTCGTTGAAATTGAAGTGTTTTCTTGTAGTGATGATTACCGCAAGAAGAAATTATGGAATTAACAAATGAAAGACAATTAATTAATATAGATATGTACACAACTTACTTTTGAATTTGAGAAGTGATGCCCATTTGTGGGTAATGAAGGGTAGAACTACTGTTATAGTTATTCCCACAATCCAATTTCTATTAAGAGAAAAAGAAAAAAAAAAACAACATTAATTTGCTAAAAAAAAAATATCACTAGTTTGGATTTTGTAATAACTAAACAACTGAAGGAATTTATAAATTCTACTGTTTGATAATTATATTTTTTTTTTCTTATTATAAATGCATACTTATAGTCGAGGTGGTCGACTGGAATTTGTACAACTGTCTAACCGTTAGTCAACCTAACAAGAACATTACTTAATGTATCAAACTCGACTTACATGAAGTTGAAAGGAGGCTCTGTCGGAGGCGGGGCTCCGGGCTCAACAATACTCCGTACAAGAACTCGTCTTGAAAATGAAGCGAAATATTCAAATATTCATGTGAATGATACAAAAAATAAATTAAAATTATACTCAAATATTTTCTAAAGACTTAGAAATCATATAACTTGCATATATACCTTGTATCCTTGTTTCCTTTCGCTCTCATACTACCATTGCCCCATAGCAAGCTTCGATCACGACCATGAAAAGCCGTGAAATTCGAAGAATAACATGAGAAAACTCGAGGCCTAGGCGCGCACGAGGGGTCGAAAACGAGCCCCCGTGAAAAACCACATGTAATAATAGATTTAGTAATAGACATGGATTTTTGTTCTTACACGAAAAAAGTGTACAAATTTATAAAAGAATGTAAGAGAATTTCGTTTTTCCTCTGGAAGAAAGACAAACAAGGTTTATAAATTAACAGTAATCTGCTTATTCATTGAAGATTATGTACATTTTATAGGCAGAAAAAAAAAATACTACTATTCTAAGACACGCTTTTTTTTTCACAATTTTGTTGTCCCCACTTGCTACGAGTTGACTTTTCAAATTAAAATAAGTTTCCATAAGTTTTGGTCAATTTCTGTATATTTTAGATTGTAATGTTTGTGGAATTTATCTGAGTTGGACACGTATATAGGTTATTTCGTGTTAACTTCACGTATTTATTATTATTTTTTTTTTGGTACAAGGACCTTCCGGTTTCCGGATCCACAGGGGAACCGACTAATCCAGAATCGAGCCGGGTAGGACTACAAGGGCGGCAAAGCTCTCCCTCAAGAGTTTTAACACTGTTGCATTCCCAGGGCTCGAACTCGAGACCACTGGTTAAGCTGGAAGAAACCCAAGCCATCTCATAACTTCACGTATTTATTTTAGACAAATTAAATTGAATTTCCGATCAAAGAGTTATTGGGTAGATCGTGGGAGGTCCGAGTGCAACATGTATTCCATGAGGTGTTTGTTATGTTTTTGTGCTTATTTTCATGTGTTTTGTGTGTTATCGAGTCGGTTTTAGGTCTGTTTTAGTGTCGACCAGTCAATTTTATCGTTTTCCGTGTGTTTTTGTGCCTTTCATTTTATTTTATATTTTGGCGTACTTGTCCGTGTTTTTGGGTTTAATTTTCAAGTTTGTCCGAGGTCGAAAGGAAGAGTCGGGCCAATTTCCGAGACGAGCTTCCCAAAGTCAATTCCGAGACGTGTCGAGCCATTTGCCTTAGTCGAAGCTTGCGGCTACGCCATTACCTACAACACTACTCGCGCGCTCGCGGAAGGCTCGGCGACCTCGAGAGCGCCGCCCTACACGCCCACACTCGCGTGCTCGCGGATTGCCGCGCAACGTCGAGAGCAACCCAACGCACCATGCTAGTAGCCCGGTCGTCCATGCTCGCGGAAGTAGAAGGGAACTCGCTAGTGTCGCGTTGCCCGCACTCGCGACCACAAGGAGCAAGCCGCGACCTCGCGAGTATCATGTGTCGCACTTTCATCGCAAGTCCGCACCTTGCACACGCTGCACGCCGCACACCACGAGCTCGCGGAAACTTTGGCGAGATCGAGAGTTCTGCGCGTCCGCGTGCCACATGTCGGCCGCCCTCACTCGCGTCCTCGCGGAACTCCTAGCGAGTTCGAGAGTGTCTCACCCCAGCAAGCCGCCCGCGCCTGCGCCCATGCATCCTCGCGCGCGCGCCCCTGCGCGCCTGTGCCAACCCGTGTTCGCACCCTCGCGAATTTCCCGCGCCCGTGCACGCCTTGCTGCCATCACCTGCGACCTCGCGGAAATTGTGGAGAGCTCGAGAGTGTGCTATTAAATGTGCATTTTTCTAGTGTGTGTTGGGGTTAGACTACATATATTTTTGTTCCTTTGCATTTTGGACATCCACTACTCATTATTTCATTTTTTCCTTTTGTGAACTAGCTTATGTTTATGTTTTGCTCTCTAGATTAGGAGCTTATGCTATTTTCCGGGAGATTTTTCGGCGACTTTGGTTTTTTTCAAGTTTCGAGCTTTGACTCCGTTTTTCATCGTCTACGCAATGGAAGAATGAGTATTTAGTTTTAAAACTCTTTACTTCGATTTTTGCTCCGTTTTTACTTATAATGTTTATTAGGGTAAATTTGGATTTGATTGATGATGGTTGCAAAGTCGAGACTTGATTGCTTGCTTGTGTAGATAGAGAAGTTAATTGCTTGTTGATCTCGTTTAAGGATTAAGACTGATTAGGGCTTAATCACTTAGGGTTAGACGACTAGAGTTAGCAATCTTATGCTTATAGCTCGTTTATTCCTTATGTCGATTGATTATCATCTCGTTATGGTTATGACATGAGACTCCGATGATCTAGTTTGCTACTTGCTCGTGATTCGATATTGCTTTTAGTTAATTGCTCGTTGTCTAGTGCTCGTTTAGTGATAATCATCCTCCAATCCAATTGCTTAGAATGTTTAGGAATTTATTTGATCTTTTTGTGTGTTTTGGGACGATCAACTAGTAGATAAAGCTCCGAATCGCCTTTCCTCGAGATCGACCCGAGTCGGGTAACTCGGTTATCCTTTGCCCACCAAATCTTTACTAAACATGAGGCGAATTTTGCAGCTGATTTTTTGGCTTTTTTCGCAGCGGAGGGTTCGTTCGGGTATCAGTCCTTTGGTGCTTCGCCCGATGGAGTTCGTCAATGGCTACAACATGATCTCGTTGGAGTAGCCTATCAGCGGACCGTGCGCTCCGTCATTCACTAGGCGTTTAGCCTCTTTCTTTGTACCAAAAAAAAAAATTGAATTTCTGATTTTTTTATAATAAATAAAACAAAAAAAAATTAAACTAAATCACAATAAAAAGAAAAGAAAAGAAAATCTTTCATTATTAGATTTTGGATGAGTTAACTTTAGAAAGTGGGCTTCAAGGTTTAATTTATCCATGTCAACATAAAATTAGAGAGTAATTTTTACCAACTTTATGCTAACATTTTGTTGAGTCAACATCTCTCACCGAATTAGATAGATTCTTAGACATAATATCGTTGATTTGTAAATATTATGTAGTGTAAATATTTGAAATCATATTAGAGTTAAATAAAACCACAAGGAGGTAATTAGATACAATAACCTATTTTTGCAACATTCTTTAGATAAATAGAAACCTCTCCAAATGTCGAACTTTTTCTGTAATTAAAGATCTTCTTGGCTTAGGTCTCGAGCTCTTGACAATTGAACCGACCTCTTGATATAAAGTCTGTCTTAATTACATACCATTGATTTTTGGGAAATGTTAAGGTCATGTTACGAAAACATTCTGTCGGGGGTTTGTAACCGTTAGATCATCATATAACCGTCTTGACGAAGGATAGGTTCACAGCCCACGAGTATAACAAACTGTCGGCCCGGAAGATTGGCCCGGTCGAGGTAATTGAGAAGATAAATCCTAATGCTTATCGTCTCCATCTTCCTTCTCATATTCGTACGTCTGACGTCTTCAACGTCAAGCACTTGGTGCCGTTTGTGGGAGACAACTCGGACGAAGACAAGACCGCTTCGGATTCGAGGCCGAATCCTGCTCAACTGGGAGAGGATGATGAAGACGAGACCGCTATTGCGTATTTGAATAAATATGACCGTCTCCGGGTTTAGTCGGTTTCATTTTATTATTATTATTCGAACTCTTTTATTTTATTTCCTTTAGTTAATTAGTACTTTGGGTAGGAAAATAATTATCTTGCAGTTGTGGGGCAAGATTAGAAATATTTATTTCTCTTTGTTATTTATATGTTATGGGGACGATGAGAAAGATCAGTTTTTTTGATCGATTGAAATAAAAATCTGTGTGTTCCTTTGAGAGAGTATCTCATCTTCTTCCCTAGTTGTACTACGCTCTACGTCACTTTATAACTCACTTCATAACTCCATACATAATGGAGATTAAATTGTAATACCACCACATTTAAGTGGATGTTACCAATTGGCAACATATCATCAATTAAAAACAATACTCCTACTCAGCCACTTAAGCCGAGACTATAACATAAAATCTTTACTAGCAAATCTCGATTGGATCTTTGTGATGCCATCTTTTAATCCTGAAGTTCGTGTTATGTTGAATTTTCTGATGGGTTATCATTTAATAAGAAATTTTGCTATTATATATTGATTTGCTATATATATAGTGATGAAAGTGGGGATGGATGGAACTTGTTATGATTTGTATTTTTATCTTTTCTAAAGACAAAAGGACAATAAATATTAAGAAATTTTTATTATTGGTGGATTAATTGGAGATGACACATTCATGCATGATGTCATATCCCACTTCAAATCTACCCCAGGCAT